AGGGGGTGTATTGCGGAACCTGGCCTTGGGGCGGCGGGGAGAGTAAATCCGGCCCTACTAGTAACTCTCTCCTGGATGCTGAAATGATACATAAGAGACCTTTTCTTCTTAACATGTTTTCGTCTCAGAATCAGCCAGTAATATGTTACTGGTGGTCCCCGTGTGTACCGGGCTCATTATTGGAAGCATAAATATCGCTCGGCATTCTTGTTGAACGCTCGGAAATAAAAATCAATATTCCCCGGAGCCCTGGAGGAAGCAAACCGAGGCTGTGGGGAACGTGTGTGTTTGCGGTGATGTGAGAAACTATCGCTCACATACGCCGCGGACTCTTTTATGTCGATAGAGAACGGCAAACTTTGTTACTTACTGACACTTTGATGATTTTGTCAAACATCACGTCCGGAGGCACGTGGAAATCAAATACAAAGTACTGCGGGAAGAAAGAGAGACATTGATTGTCAGAGACGGGATTCAGAGGAACGCTTAGAGGGGTATACTGATAAAAAATGAACCGAGCCGTTCTCTGTGAACCTTCGTTCTGTGATCATAGAGGTAAAACTGAACATTCTTAGTATATTTTCCTTTCATAATACCCCATTATGACCATTAGATGGCACTGAGGAGCATAAGAGAAGTATTATGGCCACTAGATGGAGCTAGGGAGACTAGGGAAGAAGTATTATGGCCACTAGATGGAGCTGAGGAGCATAGGGAAGAAGTATTATGGCCACTAGATGGAGCTGAGGAGCATAGAAGAAAAGTATTATGGCCACTAGATGGAGCTGAGGAGCATAGGGAAGAAGTATCATGGTCACTAGATGGAGCTGAGGAGCATAGGGAAGAAGTATTATGGCCACTAGATGGAGCTGAGGAGCAAAGGGAAGAAGTATTATGGCCACTAAATGGAGCTGAGGAGCATAGGGAAGAAGTATTATGGCCACTAGATGGAGCTGAGGAGCATAGGAGAGACGTATTATGGCCACTAGATGGAGCTGAGGAGCATAGGGAAGAAGTATTATGGCCACTAGATGGAGCTGAGGAGCAAAGGGAAGAAGTATCACGGCCACTTGATGGAGCTGAGGAGCATAGGACAGAAGTATTATGGCCACTAGATGGAGCTGAGGAGCATAGGACAGAAGTATTATGGCTACTAGATGGAGCTGAGGAGCATAGGGAAGCAGTATTATGGCCACTAGATGGAGCTGAGGAGCATAGGACAGAAGTATTATTGCCACTAGATGGAGCTGAGGAGCATAGGGAAGAAGTATTATGGCCACTAGATGGAGCTGAGAAGCATAGGAGAGAAGTATTATGGCCACTAGATGGAGCTGAGGAGCATAGGAGAGACGTATTATGGCCACTAGATGGAGCTGAGAAGCATAGGAGAGAAGTATTATGGCCACTATATGGGGCTGAGGAGCATAGGGAAGAAGTATTATGGACACTAGATGGAGCTGAGAAGCATAGGAGAGAAGTATTATGGCCACTAGATGGAGCTGAGGAGCATAGGAGAGACGTATTATGGCCACTAGATGGAGCTGAGGAGCATAGGAGAGAAGTATTATGGCCACTAGATGGAGCTGAGGAGCATAGGAGAGAAGTATTATGGCCACTCAACAGAGTATTTATTTCCTATGCTCCTCAGCGCCATCCAGTGGCCACAATGCGCTATTTTTTGAATGCTAGATTTCAGCTGAAAAGAAAATATCCTAAGAAGCTTAATTTTTTGCACATCATTTTTTGTGATCTCAGTTCTGTAGGGACACTGGGAGGGGATTCATCTTCACTGGAGCAGACAGAATCTGAAGCCGTTGTCCATGGCAACCAATCAGCTTCTCTCTTTCATTTCTGATTCTTAACTCAACATACAGAAAAGAGAAGCTGGTCACTATATATACACTATATTGCCAAAAGTATTGGGACGCCGGCCTTTACACGCACATGAACTTTAATGGCATCCCAGTCTTAGTCCGTAGGGTTCAGTATTGGGTTGGCTCCGCCCTTTGCCGCTATAACAGCTCCTCCTCTTCTGGGAAGGCGTCCACAAGGTTTAGGAGTTTGTCTATAGGAATGTTAGACCATTTGTGAATTCAGGTACTGATGTTGGGGGAGAAGGCCGGGCTCGCAGTCTCCGCTCTAATTCATCCCAAAGGTGTTCTATGGGGTTGAGGTCAGGACTCTCTGCGGCCAGTCACGTTCCTCCACCCCAAACTCCCCCATTCATGTCTTTATGGAGCTTGCTTTGTTCACTGTCGGAACGCCTGAATCCAATGATTTGGAGGGGGAGGGGCCCAATACTTTTGGCAATATAGTGTATGTTGAAAATATAAAGAAAAAAAAAATTGGTGTATCAATGCCGATAAAAGATTGAGTATCATTCCTCTATTTCTGTTCTCACGGCGTTCTATACTGTCAGCCTGACTGTGATCAGGAAGAAAAGTCCAGTTACTATAAGATTTTTCCTGGCAGATCTCTCCGTATCGCACTCCCTGGAAGCTGCCTTGTATGATCTGCACTTCAAAGCACTTACCTCATTGTAGTACGGGCAGTTGGTGGACTCTTTCATGGAGGTGTACTTCTTCTCATCTCCAACCTCAACGCAAACCACGGGATCCATGTTTAATCCCACCAGCTGCCGCGCCTCGATGACTGTAATGCTAACCTGCAGGAATGGAAGGTCAGAAAATCATCAGTTAGGTTACAAGGTTGGATGAAGGGTTTGAGTGTCAGGAGAAGGTTAGGTGTTAGGTAAGGATGCACAGATACTTTTCAGATACCAGTGCCGATACTTTTCATGAGAACTACCAGGGTTGCAGCGGTTGCAGCTGGAACCGGGCTCTGGCGCTCCACCACTGTCCTGAAATCATTAGTCTGTGTTGTTTTAGAAAAACTGTCACATGACAATAAACAAAAATGTATCAGTACTTGTATCTGTGAGGACTTGGGGAAGTATCAGTACTTGTACTCGCAAAACTGGTATCGGTGCATCCCTAATATATATATATATAAACAAAATCCTACATTAAAACAAAGATGTACAAATCCCAGGAGCTCCGTGTGCTCCTTACCAATGACGGCTGCCTCCTAACTTTTGAATGTTTCTCTAGTCTAGTCCTGGAGCTGGAAAAGTATCTGTACTTGTACCGAGTACGGTACTTGGTATCGGTGCATCCCTAGTGTTAGGGTAATGTATGGTATTGGTTAGGTTTTAGAATAGGGATGAAAGGGTTAAGCCTTAGGGTCATTCCAACTCCAACCAGGAGAGGTGCATGTGTCTTGACCTATTTTGAGTTTTTATTGCTTTTTTTGTTCCCATTCGGGAGATCTGCTCACTTCTTGTGTGGTCACCTGGACAGGAAGTGAGGTACAAATGCCTTAATGGGGAAACAGGTAAAAAACTCTAACCACAAAAAAGAAAAATATCTGTTGGCTGGAGTAAAGTTTTAAGGTTTGGGGTTGTGGGGGCTCACTTTACTTTACTTACCTGGGGTTCTTAAAGGAGAACTATGACATGAGTGATTTCCACTCACCGCATAGTTCTAAGCCTCATTGTTACAGGTCGGCTCAGTAGATCGGGAGGTGAGAGAACACCGGGTTCCCTCACCTCTCGATCCTGTCACGGCTCTCTGCCGTGACAGGGGGAGGGGCTGGATTCCCCTCTCCCCGCTCCGATCTGCAAGCGCTGACTGGCGGAACGGACGGGGGAGGGGGCGGGTACAGCTGGCTCTGCCTCTAGATAGGCAGAGCCAGCTGTCACTCACGCAGCTGGGCGGATCACGTCATTTAAGTCGGGATCCGCTCCAGGTGCGGCGTCTCAGTATACCGCGAGCTGTAGCTCCCTATATACTGAGCTTAGGGTGACGGGAGGACGCTAGTTTGTGTCCTCCCGTTACCCTTAGGAGAACTATGGGGAAAAACACTGACCCCATAGTTCTCCTTTAATGAAGACAACCAACATACCAAATGTGTTTCTCTGATGTGGTGCAAAACTCAAACTGGGGCCCATTGAAGACCACACCTTGTTTAGCTCACAAGGTTCTACTTGGTTGTACTGGTGGTTTATGCCTAGAAAGACTTACCGAAAAGACTTCTAAAGACTCCAACACTAAAAAATGGAAAGGAATAAGAGATACGGTATGTGTTGGGGAAAGAATGTTGTGTGAGCCCACAGCTGGGACATAAGGTGAGGAACATCTGATTTGTGGGACCAGTAGGTGTTGTACCCTCTTTACCTATGCACTAACCTAATCTTTTTCAATGATAATCAACGCAAAGCTTTGCTCAGGCCATGAAAGCACCAATCGCTTCTCAAAGGTAATGACTGAACCTATGTACGATGACGATAGTATTGTACAGCTCAACATCTTTACATCTTGATTCTCTAGTCACTATGTCGCTCTGATGAAGGGTCCCTGCGAGGTCCCGAAACGGTATTGAATTCATCTGTGTATGTGCCGGTGACCTGTTGAGACTATTCTGAGTTTTGCACGGCGCCATCCGTGTGATCACCAGAGCACCACCACCATTGGAAGGTTGCAGATCGGAAGGCTTGCGGGTGGTTCTTGGAAAGTATTGTACAGCTCAACATCTTGATTCTCTGCACAGGTTTTTTTTACAGTAGTGTGGGTGCCACCATCTTGGGTTCCTCAGGGGGAAACCATGGGGTCAGGTTATAGATTCCACTAACTGCCCACTCTCCCTAGATCTGGTGCCTGTGTTCTTACTATGCTCCTGGTTCCTCCTAAGAGTGTCTTACATGCAATGTAGGCAGATTTCCAGATTGAATTGCTGTTCAGTGCATCCATGGTTTGGAATCGGGGCGGCTTGTTTGAAAGATATTTCTATGCTTGTTATTTTTATGGTGCCCATATCACTGGATCACTCTAAATTGAAACATGTTTGCAAATATCTATTTTTTTAATTCTCTTGACTTACTTGGTAATCCATTGGCCTCCCAGCACTGGGCTCCATTTTGATGTCAGGCTTAGACCTATATAAAAAAACCCGTTACATAACATTGTTTAAGTAGGCCAACCAACAAATAAATGCCAGACATTTAATATACACAGCATAGGAAATCTCAGGGGGCTCGTTATGTCTCTGGTTCACAAAACAATTATTGACACAGGATTCCTGCGCTGTGATGTAGTATACGTTGTGTGTATATTTATATATACAGTATATAGGGATGGGGTTTGAGTTTGCTGCTCCCGTGGGTTTGTAGCCAATCCACAAGAATTGCAAATGACATACTTTGGATGAAGACTTTGCAAGTGCCTACTGGAAATAAAGAACGACCTAAAATGAAGTTCCCCTAGTCAGTTGAGTCGCAACAGCCAATAACTTGAAGGGATGTATAACTCACACATCTCCCTCACTATAAGCCCTCATTCACACTGGCACGTACAGCTCCGTGCTGCGTGCAGGGCCGTACCGAGCAGCTTGCGGGAAGGACAGGTGCTGCGTGTGATTAGTACACTGCCCCCGTCCTTCTCTATGGGACTGCGCGGCCGTACGCCCCCCTACGCTCACCCGACCTGCACATCCATGCGGGTAAGTGACAGGATGGATCCTGTCTGCGTCTGAGCCAGGCAACACGCACCCCTGCGGACCTGCAATTGAGGTGAGCGTAGGGGGGCGCACGGCCTCGTAGTCCCATAGAGAAGGACGGGGGCTGCATACTAATCACATGCAGCACCTGTCCTTCCCGGGAGCTGCTCGGTACGGCCGTGCACGAAGCACGGAGCTGTACGGGCGGGCTGATTCCAGTGTGAATGAGGGCTAAAAGGGTGGGTTCATAACAGTCATATTGTCAGTGTGTGTTGGAGCTGTTGGGGAGAGCTGACAGTTCTGTGTAGGGAGAGATACAGTTTTTTTGACATTTTTGTTTCAGTTTTGGCATTGTTACATGTACCCCATGGTAGTGCCTGGCTTCTAATGCCTTTTGTTGGACAATAGCTTGCTCAAAAAGTTCTACAAATGGCCAGCATTGAATAACAAGATTACCCCCCATGAACATCAATGCAGTTAGCCCCAAAGTTTGCAAACTTCGAGCAAGAATCACAAAACTGTTCCTGAATGGAACCCAGGCAGATACACTCATCCCTATACACATATTCTATTGTTCACCCAAAAAATAATAACAGGTAACAAGCAAAATGTGACTGCTAATACCACCCAGGAAAGGTCTTTAGTGCCCCAAATCACCAAAATGATTCATAAGCAATTTAATAACGTCATAAGCACCTTGCAAACAAAGACTACCAGGCATGGGCAGCACCCCCAGATGACACCAAGGCACATGATGTGATGCCTAACTCTACATGATGATGATGTCATTGCACTGGTAATAGTGGTGATGCATATGTTGGCGTGTGTGGGTGAGGGGGGAGAGGGGGGCCGAGTAATAGGCACAACGTTTTTACAAGTCCAGCACGTCCTGGACACGAAGTCATAGATTTACCTTTTGTTGGAGACATTAGTTGTGAGGGCCGTGACAGAGGCAAGAGATATAGTGTCTGGGTCCAGTCCACCTCCCAGCCGCATCGCCTTCCTGTCCAGGTCTTCTGTCTCCAAGATGGCCGGCTCATCTGTGAATACATATAATACATTTGAGAGATATTTTAAAATATTTTGGGGATTTATTTAGTCATCTGTCTCCCCTAAGCACACCGGGGCGAGGGCACCCTTTTATACGAGCTCCAGCAATGACACCACATGGTTATTTCGTGAAAACTAACCCTGGCCACACAGGGGGCTGTGTGGGCTTTACTTTACATAGAGAAATATTGTTTTTAACTGTACAAACCACCAAAGAAAGGAGGGATGGTTTTATGTTGCCTGAACGATAAAGAATTGTATGACTCCTCTTAGTATCCCCTTCTTCCTACTATGGTCCTCTTTAAGACACACATGTGCAGAGATGGACAGAAGCGACAAAGGTATCATATTATGTACAATTTGAGACTCAGTGGTGTCCTAGACATTGGCCCACGTGTGCAATTATAATGAATGCATCCCAGGCTCTGTCCAGTGTCCAAAAAGAATAAACCTATTGGGTTTATAAAGGAAGTGACATACTGTATGTATATACCTTCTGTTTTAGGAAGGCTCTACTATGCTGTGCCAGGTTTAGTGGGGGCATGTTTGGTCCCTCACCTCACTGTAACATGTGAGATTGTATTGCCTACTCTGCAGATGGAAGTTTCTGGGCCCACTTGCCAATGCCGGAGACAATACCTGAGTGAGATAGTTCCCCATAGTCCTTGTAAGCTTCAGAGATTCTTTTGTTTCTGGGGAACACACAAAAGAAGCAGCACTCCTCCACAGCTCAGGAAAGGAATGAGCTGGGTGCTTTGCCGTCACTCCAGTATGAGCCCATAAAAAAAGAAGAAAAGCTGGCCGTGGACCTTGGGCAGGACAACAGTGATGTGGTACAAGCTTCAGTGAATTATCCCAGCGGAATCCGGTGTATGGCCAGTTTTTCTTCTGTTTTTACGAACTCGTTTGTTTCTGGTGTTCACTCTATTTGTCTCCTGGTTCCTCATTGCCTGCCTGTCCAAACACTACTGATTGTATTCTACCAACCCTGGCATTGCCTGCACTAGGACTCTGGCTGAACACAACTTGCCCTGCTGTTTGCTTTTGTAGCCCCTATATAGATGAATATATGTGCTACTGTATAGATCGGTAATTCTGGCTGCAAACAGTTAATTGCCTCTGTGTGAGACGAAGAGAGACAGAGATTTATGGGGATTGCAGTGCAGAGCAGAGATGGACACACTGCCGAGAGGACTTTGAGAACTGCAACTCCCAGGATACTGTGTGGGGGAGAGGAGGATGGCTTTGGACTAAGGAGGCTGAGCGCGCGCAGTCTGGGACCGGGATCTGAAGTGAGAGGATCGATATGGAACGGGGCGAGTTGGCACTGCCTGGGACGTAGTGTGTGGTCGTTCTTGATAGATTGAGAGACTCAGACTCTGTGCTGCCGTGTTGGAGAGACATTCTGTTTGTCTGTGAGACGAAGGGACGGAGATCGGGTGCCTGAATGTGGGCCGAGTGACGCGACAGCGGCGGGGACATTACGGCCTGGCCGGAGGAGCTGATCCAGCCTGGGAATGATCTAGGCAGCCCAGCAGAGCGAGCGGAATCGAGTGCAGAAGACCCTGGCTCTGCCTCTCATTTCCTTTTCTGATGGTGGGTGCACCGTCTCTGCCAGGCAATGGTGAAGGCTCGGCAGAGTATCTGACCTCTAACCCTCCAAAATGGGAACACAACTTTTGGGTTTTTGTTGCGTTTACAACTGTAAATCAATATTTGCAGAGACTGAGCTATCACAAGTTGTACCTTCTGTGCTCTCTATGTGCTAATATCCTAATGAGATAATATAAACTAAATTTACTGCCGCAGCTCATAAATAATGCCGCCTGCAAGTTATTGTGTTATTTGAATATAATGAAAAGAAGAAGAATGTCAATAAAGAATGTTATATAAGAAATAAACATCGGCACATTTACAGGGAAATGAGATACTTCCTGACTCGTAAAGGTTTTATAGCGCAGTGACATTTATGTGTGATAATTAGATTTATCTTGTTTTGTTTATATCCGTGTCTTTAGCGTGTTTCCCAGGAAGATCAGCACACTGGCTTCAGTCTATTGAAATGGACATGAACTCAACAACGTGAAGATCTGCTATGTTATACGGAAAGATCTAGAAATGTTAATTGAATCTAAGCAGAACCCCAAAAAATTGTCTTTGTCTGGAATTTTCTCACAATTTGAAAGGGAAGGAGCAATTAATACAAAGGGTAATAACTCGGATGGGTTGAGTTGATGAAGAAAGTAAAAGTTCAGTTGATAGGTGGCGGTAGCATGGTCTTCCCTGTAGAGGTGAGTTTTAAGGAATCACCAAAAGGTGGGGTAGGAGATAAGGAGATAGCTGGACAGATTGGGGTAAGGAGTTGTAGAGGATGGGAGAGACTCTAGAGAAGTCCTGGAGAAGAGCATGGGAGGAGGTGGCGATAGAGCAGAAGCTCTTGGGAGGAGCAAAGATGATGGTTTGGGTGATATTTTGGTAGGTGATGTTGTTTGGAGCAGAGTTGTAGACAGATCTGTACATCATTAGCATCTTAAATCTATTTTGTTGGGCAAGTGAAAGCCAGTGGAAGTAATTGACAGAGAGGAGTGGGAGACGGAAGCCAGTGGAGGGATTGGCTGAGAGTGGTGGGGGATCAAAGTCAGTGGAGGGATTGGCAGAGATGAGTTGGGGTTTATAGACAGTGGAGGGATTGGCAGAGAGGTTCGGGGGATGGAAACCACTGGAGGGATTGGCAGAGGGGGGTGGAGTATGGAAGCCAATGGAGGGATTGGCAAAGAGGGGGGGGGGATGGAAGCCGGTGGAAGGATTGGCAGAGAAGGGTGGGGGATGGAAACCAGTGGAGGGATTGTCAAAGAGGGGCGTGGAATGGAAGCCAGTGGAATGATTGGTAGAGAAGGGTGGGGGATGGAAACCAGTGGAGGGATTGTCAAAGAGGGGCGTGGAATGGAAGCCAGTGGAATGATTGGTAGAGAAGGGTGGGGGATGGAAACTAGTGGAGGGATTGGCAAAGAGGGGCGTGGAATGGAAGCCAGTGGAATGATTGGTAGAGAAGGGTGGGGGATGGAAACTAGTGGAGGGATTGGCAAAGAGGGGCGTGGAATGGAAGCCAGTGCAGGGATTGGCAGAGACTTGTATGTGTTTTATGAACTACAGCAGAGAAAAAAAACAGGTCTCCTGCCCTGCCAGACAGGGCTGTGTGGGAGAGCTGTGCAAATCTCAGGACTGGATAGGCAGGAATACCAATCTTCTGGCAGGTTAAACCTTATATGTATTTCATTTGTGTATTTAGCTGTTTGCATGGAGTTCAGCTTCGACGTCTAATCACTCATTTCAGTTCTTTTATTACCATTTCTGCAACTTCATTAAACATTTTTCTCCTCGCTATTCATCTTTATTGAGATGAAAATGTTGAAAAAGCCGATAATCTGATCTAGAATGAAATTTTTTTATGGGCCCCATTGCAGCTGGTGGAATTAACTGATAAACAAGCAGCTGAGTAGCTTTTCTAAGTTATTTATTGTCTTAATTTTACTTTTACTGAGACATGAACCCAACGGTGCAATTTGATTGGTGGCACCAGGGATGAAGCACAACTCCTCCCCAATCCCCATCCTTGGTATTCTTCCATTTCCAGTATCTGAAACCAAAATATCTGTCTCTGGGTGGACTGACCCTTTTACATCAATGGCACAGGATATGTTCTCAATGAATATCCTTCAACCCAATGATGATGGAGTGAAGGTCACCATTGATGGGGAACCTCATGGACCGTGCCCTGCAATGTCAAGCGCTGCATTAAAGAATTATTGTGAGCCGATACGGGGGAAGGGTAGAAGTAATGGAGTCACAATTACCTTTCCTGCCGTCATCTTTGGGCGGACGGTTCTTGCCGAGCTTCATGGCAGAAAATACTCCTTTACCAACTCTGTGAAATAACACACAAGAGTCAGCAATTGGACCATACACAGCGTATCTAACCCAAGAACACAAATGTGATACATTGTAGCGTGAAGTCCATTTAACACATTGGTTACATTTGTAGCTTTCTGAGCTTTATTTTCACCTGGTGATCCTGCCACATTTCTTCTGCTAGGGTGACAACGCTTGCTCATCCCACTGTATCCATGGAGGAGCAGTGTTGTCACCCTAGGCTGCTCTCGTGATTGGAATACAAACCTTCATCTCCATTACATAGGGAAGCTTTCTGTTGTAGTTCACAGAAGATAGCTAATCACTTTTTTTGGATATAGCAGTTGAGCATACAGGAAGTGACAAGGACACTGGATTGTTCTGTACTTGCAGAAAATGTACTTTTCCCCCCCCCCCCCCAAAAAAAAAACCAAATGCTCTCCTGCTGGGACTTTATCAATCCCCATGACTCCGCCACTCATTTTAACTGCCAGGGCTCTGCTGTAGGCTGCCGGTGAATGTGAACTCCATTCATTCCTTAATTGGATGTAAGAACAAACTACATTTCCAACAACGTTCATCAAATGACAACACTTTCGAATGTGCTGAGAGTTTTCGTATGAACATTCGTACAAAAATCTACCAATGTATGGCCGGCTTTGCAGGAATTGATAAGGAATGAAGAAGAGAGCTCAGGAGAAGAGAGGACGCCCCCTCATGTTTTCCGAGATGGGTAAAAAGATCAGGATTACGGAAGAGCTTGAATCCAGTCTGAACCCGCACTTCTCCGAACATGTAAGGAAGCTCCTCCCACTGTGGTCGGGGAGTTCCCTGCCCGCAGCTGAACATAAGCAAAGGGGCGGGATGCTGTGATGTAATTGACCTTATATGGCATTGATAAGATAAAATCACCTGCACTCCATACAGCGGTACAGACCTAGTTGAAAGGTTGGTACTTGAAGTGACAACACGGATGGCGCGGTTTCACTATGTCACCCAGAAGAAGGGACCCTGCGTGGCCCCGAGACGTTGGCTGTATGACGCATGTGACAATTTAATAAAAAGTGCTTTACTTCTTACACATATCATCGAGTGCTGGTGACTTCTATTACTACCTTATATGGCCACATGGCTATGTTTGGTCAATGACATTAACCAAATATGGCCATGTGGCCGTATAAGGCCAATGATGTCAGCACAAACTCCCCGCCCCTTTGTTGATGTGCAGCTATGAGGCAGGGAAGCCCCCACCTGCAGCTGATTGGGCAGGGAAGCCCCAAGGCACTTCCAGGTTCAGAGGAGCTCAGGATGAGACTGGGTTTAGTACCAACCTGAGCTCATTCCTGATCAGGATGAGTCAGGAGGGGACTCTCAGCACCCGTCATCCTCAGTGGGAGCTCGGCCCATTTGGGGGTCACCCTGACATTGATAGACAGATCTCCTAGTTGGGTAGGAAATGCTCCCATTTTCAACAGCCACCATAGAACGCTTTCTGCTGCAAAGATCTTAATGCACTCTGTGCAATGCTCACTTTGGCATGTTCAGCATTACCTGTGAATTTGGGAAACAATTTCACATACTCATGTAAGCGGTGCAGCCCACATAAAGGGGATTCCAAACAAGAAAAAACAAACACTCACTTCCCCCATCCTTGCTAAACAAACATTCCCAGCTCACATGTAACCTTCAAGATTCTTATCATGTGATCTCCCATGCTGGCTGCTACCTGATTCTTGGGGGGTCATTCACTCGGCTGCCCAAGCCGGAGTGAAGGAAGACGAATGCTGTTCGGCTATTCACTTCAGCCAAGTATGGCTGATTTCAGCCATACATCAGCTGGTTTTGGCTCCCTTTGGTTCAGCCGAACATGCTCAATATCATCAGCTGAGCAGAACTGAATCAAATCTGGATCGGCTAAGCCAAACGCCCAGCAGTTCACTCTCTGCCGTTCACCCCTATTATAATTTTCCCTATTCTCTAACTTTCCTCCCTTTAGGTCTAGTAGGAAAGTTAGGAGGGACCCCAATCAAAAAGTAAAAGAAAAAAGTGCATGGGGTTCCTCCAAAAGTCAAACCAGACCCTTTAGTTCTGGTAGGAATTTTAAGGGGAAACCTCACCCCCAAAAAATGGGTGGGGAAAGAAGAATATGTGGTCCCCCCTAAAATTCCCAACCAGACCCTCAATCCGAGCACTGGCTTGGCAGGGCAAGAAAGACCTAAAGGGTCGGGTATGGATCGGAAGGGGTAATAATGTAAAATTTGTTTACATTATTGAGGGGGAACGTTCTCCCCGCTACGGCTGTGAAGCATATGCGTTTGGCTCGGCTGAGTTGTTTGGCTGCCTTCGGCTGCTGTATGGGCAATTGTGAATATTGTGAATAGCCCGTACAGCAGCCCTTCGGTTCAGCTGCACTGAAGGGCTCCAGCGGCCGAAGTGAGCTGAAGAATTAGCCGAAGCTTCGGCTCTTTAGTGAACAGAGATTAACATTCTCACAGCCCATGCAACTACCCCCAAGAAGGTCATTCTCCATATTGTGGACATCTGGGAGTTAAACATGAACCTATCAACACGAAGCAACAACAGAAATTGCAAACAGAAAGGCAAAGAGCAGCTTCCGGCGTCTTTTGTTCAGCAAAGTTTTGATACGTTTGTATTGTTTGATGGGGTATAAAAAAACGAGACTTCCCTTCAAAATGAGAACTTCTAGTTTTCATATAACAAATGACGGCACGCTGGTGGTTACAGAGCCGGAACCTTCTGCTGGCAGCTCCCAGAATCTCATTATCGGCAAGTGAAAACTCAATATTTGCGGGATTACGGCTGCCCACGCAGAGCAGTGTTCTCCCGGGATCAGCAGAGGCAGACGCCGTGATATTTGGACAGCGTCGTCAGTCTTACGGGCTAATCTCACCCAAATCGAAAAGTTTACTTTTGGGTGAAAGTCAATGATATGAAATACAATACAAAGTTTGGCTTTCCCGAAATCCTGGGAACTGTCCAAAAATGACGGAGCGAAGGATCGGACGATCCCCGGGGGTCTGGGGATGATGAGTAGAGAGAGAGATGGGCAACGGCATCACAAGGGGGTGCGGCTCGCACCGGGAGACTCCATCGGATGGGGTGACACCAAAATGACTGGCAGCCATTTTGGTGTGTCCCCCCTAAGTTGGGCACACATGGACCGAGACCCGAACAGCGGTATGAGAGAGAGTGGAGGGGATCCAGTGGCATACCTGATACCGCCAGGTCAATATCCCCTCTTATCTTTCATCATCACCAATATGGCCACCGGCAGTGAAGTACAGCACCACAAACGCATGATGATGTCACACCACAGACGTCATGCGCATCGGTCACACTGGGTGACACCCACCCTGGTGCCACCGCTGGGTATAGGCTCTGTTCAGGTATTATATACAAAATGTCATGGGACATATTTATAAAGCAATGAATCTCACATGTACTAAACATTCACTGCAGGTGAATCTTCCAGGGGCATGTGTTTTAACTGATAGTGATTGATTCACAATCAGCGAATGTTTGATGAGAGTCACATTGACTGCTTTATAAATATGCCGCTATGTGTTAAAGTCAATGTTGGCCCTGCCCCCTTCTGCCTGTTAAGTTTCCCTGTTGCAGCACAAGGGAGGTGGAAGGGGATGGGCCAAGCCGACATTCATGGGAGAAGATTTGCCTATGACATGAGCTGCCCGTAGCTCCGGGTTTGTTGATAGTTTTATCATAGAGTTTTCATTGAAGGTAACCCTTGTCTATGGCGAGATTTGGGAGACCGTTGGTTGAAAGTAAAGATGAGCTCAGCCCGGTCCAAGTCTGAGCTCCTTGAACTTGGATGTGCCACCCCACAGCTGCATGTAAGCAAAGGGGCAGGATGCTTGTGCTGACTTTATTCACCGTATATGGTCATATAGCCACATTGTGTACATATAATTTATCAAATATAGGCGCCTAACCACATTAGGTCAAAGTCATTCTCCGAATTTAGGCATGTAGCCATAGAAGGTCAATGACATGACTGCATCCCAGTGCTTATGTCAAGCTGTGGACAGGGAAATCCCCACCAGCTGCTGACTGGGTGACAAAGAATGAGCTTCCTTCCATGTTCAGGAGAAGCTCCTTCTGGGTTTAGAGGAAAGATACATAATTGAACTCTAAATTTGGTCTGACTACCCCCCGGCAAGCCAATTATAAAAGGTGCCTGAACCCTCCAAAACCTCAGAAGAATGTGAATATAATGCTCTATCCACCTTGCTCTAAGCGAGGGGACTCCTTACATTTAGTTCTGCTGGATTGTATAGAGCAGTGATGGCGAACCTTGGCACTCCAGCTGTGCCAAAACTACAAATCCCAACATGCATCTGCCTCTGGGAGTTATGTCTGCGGCTGTCAGAGTTTTGCAATGCCTCATGGGACTTGTAGTTCCAAAACAGCTGGAGTGCCAAGGTTCGCCACCACTGGTATAGAGTCTAGATAATTTGATACTCCGAGCTCATTTGGTTTCTCCCAAGCTCTCTGTTATAGTTTGTATCTTCCTGCTGCTCGGTGTGACCTACAACCAATTATGTGAAGTTATGAGTTGATAGGCAGGTCTCTTTCTAGCCAACCACTAGGAGGTTCATGGCCAGTGGTGCATGCTTCAGGTATATGGGCACAGTTAGGGTCTGAAACTGTTCCTGGGATGGAGAACCAGGAAGGAACCTCATCTGCTTGAGGTGCCAGAGAAGCCAGGATGGGCTTGGACCTTAGAAGGAAGTGTGGTGTCTCGCCTAGGGAACCCTGTGCTACGTCTACTGACCAGATAAGGTTCTTCAATACAAAGTGTTACTGTGTCAGTTTAAAGGCCCTCTCTGCACTGTGAAGCTGGGAAGTGGTCAGTGAGTCTGGAGTTCTGTACTGTCCTAGATGTGTGTAGCCCTTTACTCTCTATCCCACTGAGTTGCTGATGGAAGAAAACCTTAAAGTGCCTGGAGCCCAACTTTACATTTGTATCCTGCAACC